AAGGAGGAATAACATTGTCAAAATGGCAAAACTCCCCAAAACATTATACAAATTAATGTGGTCCCTATCAGGACACCCATGACATTCTTTAAAGAAATAGGCAAAACATTCCTGAAATTCATATGTAACAATAAAGCCCCATGAATAGCTAAAGCAATCCTGAGGGAAAAAGAAGATGGGTGGCATACCTTCCCCAACTTCAAACTGTATTACAAAGCAGTAGTAATTAAAACATCATGGTATAGGGCTAGAAACAGACTCACAGACCAGTGGAACAGAGTTGAATTCTCTGTCACAGATTCTCAATTATATGATGACTTAATCTTTGATAAAGGAACAAGAAATGTGAAGTGGAACAAGGAAAGTCTCTTCAACAACTGGTGCTGGGGAAACTGGACAACTACCTGGAAAAAAATGAACTCTGACCTCTGTCTAACTCCAAGCACAAAACGTCAAATCAAAGTGGATTAAAGGCCTCAATCTCAGACATGAACCCATAAGATACATCAAGGAAAATGTATGCAGAACCCTCCATGACATTGAAGCTAAAAGCATCATATAACACACCACTGACTAAGCAAGTGGAAACAAACATAAATAAATGGGACTACATTAAACTAAAAGGCTTCTGCACCTCAAAAGAAACAGTGACCAAAATACAGAGATAGCCTACTGAATGGGAAAGAATATTTACCCATCACCCATCAGATAAGGGATTAATATATGGGATATACAAACTTTAACTAGAACTATACAAGAAAAAAGCCACCAACCCCATCAAAAAATGGGGTGAAGAAATGAACAGAAACTTCCACAAAAGAGAAATACAAATGGCCAAAAGGCACATGGAAAAATACTCTACATCACTAATCATCAGGGAGATGCAAATCAAAACAATGAGATATTATCTTACACCACAGAGATTGGCACATATCAAAAAGAATAAGAACAACCATTACTGGCACAGATGTGGGGAGAAAGAAAATCTCTTTCATTGTTGGTGAGAATGCTGACTGATCCAGCCTTTCTAGAAAACAATATGGGCATCCCTCAAAAAGCTAGAATTTGATCTTCCACATGACCCAGCAGTACCATTTCTGGGAATATATCCTGGGGGTGCAAAAAAGCACAATAGAAATGACATCTTCACCTGTTTGTTCATTGCAGCACTGTTCACAATAACCAAAATCTGGAAACAGCCCAACTGCCCGAGAACAGACGACTGGTTAAAGAAACTTTGGTACATCTACACAATGGAATACTATGCACCTGTTAGGAAGAATGAAGTCATGAAATTAGCTTTTAAGTGGTTGTACATGTGAATATCATGCTAAATGAAATGAGTCAGAAAGAGAGGGACAGACATACAATGACTGCACTCATTTGTGGAATATAAAATAACATGAGACCAACACCCAAGGACAGTAGAGACAAGGGCTGGAAGATTGCTTCACAGTTGGAAGCCTGCCTGGGGGAGAAGGCAGCTGAGATAGAAAAGGAATCACTAAGTCAATGATGGTTGGAGGGATTGTTCAGGATGGGAGATGTATGCTGAAAGAAAATAAAGGACTAAACATGATGGCTTCTCAGTATCTGTATGGCAAATCATAATGCCCAAAAGTAGAGCGAGAGAGTAAGAAGGAAATTGTCAGCCATAGATGCAGGGGTTGGGGTGAGGTGGGGGGTGGCAGGAGGGATACTTGGGGACATTGGTGGTAGAAAATGTATACTGGTGAAGGGATAATTGTTTGATCATCGTATGACTGAAGCTCAATCATGAAAGCTTTGTAACTATCTCACGGTGATTAAATAAAAATAAAAAGTTGCAAAGAAAACTTATTTTATGATAATTGTAAATTTGTTGTACACCCAAAATGTCAATTATACTTAAATAAAATATGAATTTTATACTTAAAAATAATAAGTTTAGTTATGAAAGAATAGGTTTTTTTTTTAATTTTTATTAGTGAAACACCATGAGGTACAGTTGTAGATTTACAAATTTTTGTGCTTGGGTTTCGATTATACAATGATCAAGTACCCATCCCTACACCAGTGCCCATTTTCCACCACCATGGATCCCAGTATCCCTCCCACACCCATCCCCCCATCCCACCCTGCCTCTGTGGGAGGGCATTCCCTTTTGTTCTCTCTCCTTTTGGGTGTTGTGGTCTGCAAAAGAGGCATTGAGTGGCAATCATGTTCAGTCCATAGTCTACTTTCAACATGTATCTCCCCTCCTGGGAGGATCCTCCAAACACCCTTTATTTGGTGCTCCCTTCTCTATCTGAGCTGCCATTTCCCCTAGAGTGCACGGCTGGCCTTTAAGCCATGAAGTAATCCTCCTGGTACTGATCTCGGCTATTCTTAGGTATTAATCTTCTGTTTTGTTACTTTATGTCCCCCAGATGAATACAATCTTTTTATGTCTATCCCTCTCTTTCTGACTCATTTCGCTTAGCATGATACTTTCCATGTGGTACCACTTCTATGTAAAGTTCATGACTTCATCTTTTCTAACAGCTACATAGTACTCCATTGTGTAGATGTACCAAAGTTTCTTTAACCAGTCATCTATTCTTGGGCACTCAGGTTTTTTCCAGATTCTGGCTATTGTAAAGAGTGCTGCAATGAACAAACAAGTGCAGATGTCACTTCGACTATACATTTTTGCCTCTCTGGGATATATTCCCAGGAGTGGTATCGCTGGGTCAAATGGGAGCTCAATTTCTAATTTCTTGAGAATGGTCCATACTGTTTTCCAAAAGGGCTGAACCAGTTGGCATTCCCACCAGCAGTGAAGGAGTGTCCCTTTCTCGCCACATTCGCGCCAGCATTGGTTGCTTTTGTTCTTTTGGATGTGGGCCAGTCTCTGAGGTGTGAAATAGTATCTCATTGTGGTTTTGATCTGCATCTCCCTGATGATTAATGATGTAGAGCATTTTCTCATGTGCTTTTAAGAATAGTTTTTGAGTCTGACCTTTCCAGTGAATACTTTTGTTTCCTTGGGCAAATCATAATATTCCATTAATCAGTAGAAGGGTGCTCACTTTCATAATGTATAAAATTATATGTAAATATTATCAATATTATATGTCAATAATGTAGAAAAAAGTAAAAAAGGAAAAGAAGAAAAGTAAAATTATACAGTTTCATAGGGTTTGTGATGAACATATAAGATCTTTATAGTATCTAAGCATAGTGATCAATAAATGCTTGGTAATTGTCATGGTTTTAAGAAAATCATTTTGAAAAATGATTTTATGCTTACCACCCAATAATAATATTTCTATAAGATTTTTAAATCCTCAAAATAATGTTTTCTACATTATAAAGCAAATATTTGTTAAAAATAAATTTTAATAAAATCATTTAATGTAGTCATCGCATGCTTGTTTTTTTTACCTTTTTGGGTCACAGCCAGCAGTGCACAGGGATTACTCCGGGTTTTGCACTCAGGAATTATTCCTGGAAGTGCTCAGGGGACCATATGGGATGCTGGGAATCGAACCTGAGTCAGCCACATGCAAGGCAAACGTCCTACCTGTTGTACTATCGCTCCAGCCCCTACTTGTTTTCATTTTAGAATTTTCTGAATTCCCTTGTAAATTTAAATCAATGTAAATTATATTTATCAATAAGCTATTCTGTCCAAGGTAATGAAATTAAACTAAACTACTAATACAGGCAAGTATATATAATTTGCTTTAGAAAAAGTTGGGGAAGTCACACCCAACAGTGCTTAGAAGTCACTCTCAGCAGTGCTTAGGGAACCATATGGGGTGCCGCCGGGGATTATACCTTGGACTTCCATATGCAAAGTATGAGCTCCAGTTTGCTGAGCTCTTAATTCTTGTTTTTGAAAATGTTATCAAATGAATTCAAAGTTGAAATTTAATGAAGGATTTTTTAATTTGATTTTATTTTTAAAAAGTTGTTCACAATAATTCAGTACATTTAATATTCCAACACCAATCCCACCACCATTGAACCTTCTCATCACCATATTTTGAATTTTTCCATTCCAAATCCCAAACCAGCCCTCCCCAGAGCAGAACTGAATCAATTAATTTTATAATGCTTGTTATGAATAATCCACTAAAAATGGTACAATAAAGTTTTCTTAGAGGAAAGTGTGTGAAGACTGTTGTATTTCATCCTGGAGCCATTAAGCATGTGCATAAGAGATTAAAAATATGTTTGTTAAACCCAATCAAATGTATGCTTCTCTTGGACATCAGTGGTGTAGTGTATGAGAGTTTGCTCCAGAAATTCTAAAATTTAGAATATGATTATACAGCAGATTCACTCATGGGTTCGGCCTATATCACTCCCTTCCAGGAGCTTTATTTATGAATCTCTGAATCATTGCCATTGTTGAGATTATATGGCACCAGGGGCAGTTTTTGAGTGTGACTGCCAAGCTACTGATAAGCTTGGAAGATGGAGGGAGGAGGCCCATTCCTGCTCAGAGAGAGCTTGGAGATTTCAGTCACCGTTCCTGCATACCTGGATTTACGTATGGGTGAGGCTCATCCAAGCCTGTGGAGAATGGTCTTGAGCATAGCAGCAATTGAGTTCTGGAGGTTTTTTGCTGTGGTTCAGAGTTCAGGACTCTGTTGGGGTGGGGAGGGAAACTCACCCTCCCACCTCTGAGTTGCTCCAATGAAGACAGCCTGGTGTGAAGGTCTGGGTCTAGACATTTTATGTTGCTCTTAATGAATGATTTTTTAAACTAGGCATCTTTTACAAATAATTATTCATGGATTTTATGTCTAGATATATACACACATCCAATCAATTTCTTTCATTGAAGTAGGCATGTCCCTCCCATTTCTCTATCTCTTTTATTGTATATGGATTTTATTCTTTATGTGATATATCACTTTGTTGTATATTGAAATCATTGGTCTGTAAAATAAATAACTGCTAAAATGATCATATTTTGATGTTAAGTATTTATTATTATGACAGAGTAAATTAAAATTTATTCTTTTAAGTCACTAGAAGTACGTCTTCAGTGTGATGTGGAAGATATTATTACCCCTGAAGCAGAAACAAGTCCTCCATTCCCAGATCTCTCATCTCAGCTTCCTTCTTCAAGAAGTCTTTCTGGAAGTACTAATACTGTAGAAAGTGAAGGAGCAACGAAAGATAGTATTCCATGTCTCAAGTAAGAGTTGCAATCAAATTTCAAAATAATTTTGCACATTATATAATTTTTTAAAACTGCATCAATTAATAATTATTCCTCTACTCAAATTGTTATCAAATAACACAATCCCCAATTTCTACTTTTCTTTAAACATCTACAAATAATGCACAATATAATTATTCTTTTAGCAATTCATAATTTTCCTTCCCCTAAAGGACCCAAAAGGAACACAGCTTGATAAACTGGGAAAATATTTGTTAGGCCTGAAATATGGCAACTTATTTGGTACTGCCCAACTGAAAAGCTATGTTTAGGGAACTTCTTCAATTTTCATGAAATGGAAGATAAAATCAAATGTACTCTTGCAAGAATACTTAGAAAGAGAAAATTTCATGATTTTTAGGATATTGCATAATACTTTAAAAAACTGATTTTATTTTTAATAAATTATACTCTTTAAGTGTCATAATCTAATAAAACCTCAAGTTATGCAAAACCATGGTAATACCCATATTCATTGTTTTATGAGTTTTAGTAATATAATATGAAGGTGTACAATTTCCTTAAACTAATATTTATTGCTTCTTCATCAGCATACCATATGCTTTGAGTATTAGATAGAGAATCAAACCTATGAGGAATTTCTGTGAACTTCCTATAAAAATATCAAAGTCTTTTACTCAAAAAACTTTATCTAACATACCCCACAAATACCACTAGCTTCCCATCTTTATGAAATAAATATTTATAAGATTTTTAGAGTGAAATCAGCTTATCATACAATAAAGAACCATACCTTTGTAATCATTGGTCTCCCCCAAGTTTTTTCTTGTGACTTAATAAAAGTAAATATACATAGATGCTATTGAAGGTGGGGAAACTATAAGGGGAAGACAACATAAAAGTTTAGTGCCAATTACATACTATATTAAGAATCATGGTTTTCATTCCTAATTAAAGTACGACTCTTTGTAGGATTTTTGACTTGGAAAAAAATGACATGATCACTACTGAAATCATAGGTTTATCACTGACAATCTCACTGAAAATGGATTTGGAGTTGGAAGTAAAGCACAAAAAGTAGGGGGCCAGATTCAGCATGCAAACACACAGGATACAAAAATATCAATTTCAGATAAACAAAGAACTTTATTTGTATTGTATGTTCTGAAAATTGTAATGGGCATTACTCTCTATATAAAAAATATATTGTTATTTATTTAAAATACAGACTTAAATGACTATCCAGTATTTGCCAACTAAAGTCGGATGAGTAGTAAAGTAACTAGAAGAGACATAAAAGCTGATCATATTCTGTTTATATTTTTGAAGATAGTCCCCAGCAACTTTTGATAAGTGAATGTAAGGTAGGAGTGAAAGGCATTTAGTCAAGGAAGACTTTTATAACAAGATTGTAGACATTTATACTCATAGTGATGCAATATTTTTGAATTAAATAATTAGAATGATAAAAATTGTTAGGAACTGGAGTAGAGAGAGCTTCATAGCAGGAGGGAGAGGAAAGGAATTTGGGTTTGGGTTATACTGAAATTTCAAGTTTGGTAACATTAAGAGTCTTTTTATTGTGAATAACAAATTGGTATCTATGTAATGAATATCATGTAAGATACCTAATACAAATAACATTTTTCTTGGAAGTAAAAAGAAGTTGTAGATCTGATTAAATAAAATATCCTTGAGAGAAAAAACTAATAAAAAGTGTGTGGTGTACTTAAAGCTAAAAGACACATAATTATTCTGTTTTCTTCTCAGTGCTTGGTGTTTTATATTTCTGTGTGAAGATTCCACGTAGTTCAGAAGATAGTTCTGAAGTTTAATTGTTCATACTTATTTAAAGTGAATGTGTTATAATTCCAGTTTTTTTTTTTTTTTGGTCTAGTGTTAAGTCTAAACCAGTCCGAATGCCCCCAGGCTATCAAGCAGAACTTGTTATTCAGCTGGTGTGGGTGGATGGAGAACCTCCTCAACAGATTACTAGTCTTGCTGTAAACTCAGCATATGGCATGTAAGTAGCTCAATGTTCTTTTAATTTTTTTAATTTTAAGTATCTCTGATTTATTTACATGTTTCTTTTAAAACACTTAAGTGAGTCACTAAAATTGAAAGAAGCCATGTATGGACTTTTATTAAACATGAATCACAAATTTTTAAGGTACTTCTATTTTTTCTTTCTTTTATCATTTTTGTTATTTTGTATGTTTGGTTTGGGGGTGACCACACCAGGCTAATCTCCAGGCTTACTCCTGGCTTTGTGCACAAGGATCACTCCTAACGAAGTTTGGGAGACCACATGGGGTGCCAGGGAATGAACCCCAGGTTGACCATATGCAAGGCAAGCACCCTATCTGCCGTACTACCTCTTCAGCCCCAAGTAATTCTATTTTTTTAGTATTCTTTTGTGGGTCTGTATTTTGTATCATACTTCAAAAGGCCCTTCTCACTTAAAGATAAAATTTTATATATTTTTTTCTAAATTTTTTTGTTATTAACACATTAAAGTCTGTAATATATCTAAAATTTATTTAGGTATAAGTTATAAAATATGGATTAAACTCTTGCTTTTAAATGTGTGAGTAGTGCCAAAATAATTTCCTCAATATTTCATCTTCTTGTTATTTTTAAGTCAAATTTTATAAATTGTATATTTTATAAATATTTGACTTTTTCTGTATTTCTTTATTTTTTATTTATTTATTTATTTATATTTTTTGGTTCTTGAATCACATTGGGTGATTCTCAGGGATTACTCCTGACTTTGCACTCAGGGATCACTCCTGGCAGGCTCTGTCTTGGGGTAGAGCATATGCAGTGCTAGAGATCTAAAGCAGATTTAGCAAATGCAGTACCCCCTGTTCTATCACTCCAGCCTCTATATTTCTATACATAACCCCTAGCTAAATCTGGTGAGCTTAATGAGTACTCCTTGAAATTATCAAAATAGAGGAATATAAAAATATTTCATCTCCGATGCCTCTTTTTTTTTGGAGGGTAGTGGTGGAAGGATAGAGATTAATATAGATTTTGGGAGTTTTTCACAAGTGAAAAAATGAAGTAGGACAGTTAGCAGAATAGCCCATGATAAAGAGAGAAGAGGAAATTAGTTGGGATCATCTGTAGTTCCACTATATGCTAAGAATGTATGTGTCTTCTAGAGTAATGTTTTTTATCCCCTGGTCTGCAAAACATCAGGTGTGAAAAGGGTTGAAAACCACTGGTCTATCACTATGGTTTTATAAACTGCCAGTCTCCGACCAGTATGGAGATGCTAGCCTGTATAGGAAAACAAAAAGTCAGATCAGGTAGTTACCATGGAAATTTACTGAGTCCAAGTCATCTTTAGGGTTCTATACTGGAAAAGATTGACCAGAAAAGAAACAAAGATGTTAGAATTCAGAAACTGTAAAGTGTATTGCCAGTTTCAGATCTTAATTTCATTAGAAAAAGATATATTAGTGACTGTTTTTCCCAAATAGGGACCGTACAGAGCCTCTGAAGAACCTGTACTTTTATAATAAAGATAATTTGAATACTTGCCACATTGACTGCCTCAATTGCAAAATACTGTAGCTCAAATAACTATCTGTACAAATTTCATCATGTTTCTAAAAAATGAATAATACTAGCATTATTTTTAAATATTTCTGAGAATTGTAAAAGAAAAATCAGATACATCTCATTTTATTAGGCCAATATCTGTTGATGTCAATACTTGAAAAGATCATTATTGCAGGGTCATATGGAAGCTCAATTTCTAGTTTTTGAAGGAATGTCCATATTGTTTTCAAAATGGCTGGACCAGTCAGCATTCCCACCAACAATGAGAGAGTCTCCCTTTTTCCCCACATTCATGCCAGCACTGGTTGCTTTTGTTCTTTTGAATTTTGGCCAGTCTTTGTGGTGTGAGACAATATCTAATTGTTATTTTGATTTTCATCTCCCTGATGATTATCAATGTGGAGCATTTTTTCATGTGCCCTTTGGCCATTTATATTTCTTTTTTGAGGAAGCTTCTGTTCATTTCTTCTCCCCATTTTTTGATGGGGTTGGAGGTTTTTTTCTTGTATAATTTTACTAGTGTTTTGTATATACTGGATATTAATCCCCTATCAGATGGGTGTTGGGTAAATATTCTTTCCCATTCAGTGGGCTCTCTCTGTATTTTGGTAACTGTTTCTTTTAAGGTGCAGAAGTTTCTTAGTTTGATATAGTCCCATTTTTTTTATGTTTGTTTCCACTTGCTTGGTCAGTGGTGTTTTATATGATGCTTTTAGCTTCAATGTCATGGAGGGTTCTGTCTACATTTTCTTTCATATACCCTATGGATTCATATCTGATATTGAGGTCTTTAATCCACTTTGATCTGATTTTTGTGCCTGGCATTAGACAGAGGTCAGAGTGCATTTTTTTCCAGGTAGTTATCCAGTTTTCCCAGCACCAGTTGTTGAAGAGGCTTTTCTTATTCCACTTGACATTTCTTGCTCCTTTGTCAAAGATTAAGTGATCATATATTTGTGAATCTGTGACAGAGAATTCAACTCTGTTCCATTGGTCTGTGAGTCTGTTTCTAACCCTATACCATGCTGTTTTAATTACTACTGCTTTGTAATACAGTTTGAAGTTGGGGAAGATGATGCCACCCATCTTATTTTTTCCCCAGAATTGCTTCAGCTATTCGTGGGGGGTTACTGTTCTATATGAATTTCAGGAGTGTTTTGTCTATTTCTTTGAAAAATGTTATGGGTATCCTGATAGGGACCACATTAAATCTGTATAGTATTGCCATTTTTGATAATGTTAATCCTTCCTATCCATGAGCAGGGGATGTGTCTCCATTTCCTAGTGGCCTCTTTTATTTCTTGAAGTAGTACATCTACACAATGGAATACTCTGAGGTTGTTAGGAGAGCTGAAATCATGAAATTTGCTTATAAGTGGCTGGACATGGACAGTATCATGCTAATTGAAATGAGTCATAGAGGGACAGAAATTGAAGGACTGCACTAATTTGTGGAATATAAAACATTATGAGACTGACACCCAAGGACAGTAGACACAGGGTCAAGAATATTGCTCCATAGTTGGAAGCCTGTCTCATGAGCTGGGGAGAGGGCAGGAGTAATAGAGAAGGGAATCACTAAGACAGTGATGATTGAAGGAATAATTTGGGTTGGGAGATGTGTGCTGAAAGTAGATAAAGGACCAAACATGATAACCTCTCAGTATCTCCTCTCAGTATCTTTATTGCAAACCATAATGCCCAAAAGTCGAGAGAGAGTATGGGGTAAATTGTCTGCCATGGAGGCAGGGGAAGGTTGGAAAGGGGGGGGGGGGGTTAGTCAGGACATTGGTGGTGGAGAATGTGCACTGGTGGAGGGATGGGTGTTCGATCGTTGTATGATCGAAACTCAAACATGAAAGCTTGTAACTGTATCACTGTTACAGTGACTCAATTAAAAAAAATTTTACAAAAGAGAAGGCCATTATTAAGAGGGAAATTTTTGAGATCACATTTTGTGTCCACATACATGTAAAACTCCCAGCCAAAGTACACATAAATATATATAGAAAGGAAAATACATGTTATAAATAGGTTTAGTGTACACTAAGAATGCAGGGCATTTTTAATATTTGGAATGAACCAGTATAATTCACCTAACTCATAGGATATAGTAAAAAACCATATGATTAACTTAGTGATTGAAAGTAGCATTTGACGAAATTCATCTACTTTAAACTTTAAAAGACTTTAAAAGAAGCTGTTAACTATAAAGATTTTCTTAATATGAAAAGTGGGTGTATTTTTAATTCACACTTTACTTCTGAGATAAATTTAAAATAAAACAAGGAGGCTATTATCACTTCTATTCACTCTATACTGCAGGATCTACTAACCCAGGGCTTTATATATAAAGAGAAAAAAGGGGGGGAAATGATGTTGATATATCTGAAACATCTGTTACTATTGTTTGGCATATTGAGTACGTCATGGGGAGCTTGCCAGGCTTTGCTGTGCGGGCAAGATACTCTCCGTAGCTTGCCGGGCTCTCCGAGAGTGGCAGAGGAATCGAACTCGGGTTGGCCATAATGGCTGCGTGCAAGGCAAACGCCCTACCCACTGTGCTATCGCTCCAGCTTTAACATCTAAATACTTAAATTTTAAAGATTATCAAATTAGTTTAACACTATTGTATATTCAAAGTCAATATAAAATTATATTTTTATATGGTCAAAAAAGTTGACTAATAATAAAATCAATATGCCATTTACAAAAATATATATATCGGGATAAATCTAATAAAACAATCAGTATTCCTAAAGAAAAGAGTATAAAACTCAAGATAAATTAAAGAACCTAAATAATATGATGGAAAACTTAATAGCAATGTTAAAAGCATCAGTTTTTACAAATTGATTTATAAATTTACCACAATACCACTATGAATTTTAGTATTATTCCCTTAAAATTTATTCCTGATACTACAATTTGTAAAGAAATGAAAGGGGTTATACTAGCTAAGACATTATTGAATAATGACAGATGACTCTCTCTACTAGAAAATAAGACATTAAATGAAGCTCTATTAATCATGTCATTCTTTTTATTGGAACTAGATAGACATATAGACCAAGGAACATAAAGGTGTGGAAATAGGTCCAGGCATATGTTATAAGAATTGTAGAATATCTGAGAAAATGATAAGTCACTTCTCAATCCAATAAGTAGTACAGTCAACTGGATAATCTCTATAATACTTAGACAATATTTTTTTAATCTTTTTTTTCTTTTTGGGTCACACCTGGCCCAATGCACAGGGGTTACTCCTGGCTTTGCACTCAGGAGTTACTCCTGGCGGTGCTTAGGGGACCATATGGGATGCTGGGAATCGAACCCGGGTCGGCCACATACAAAGCAAATGCCCTACCCATTGTGCTATCTCTCCAGTCCCACTTTTAAAATATTTTAACATAGACTATATTATAACTATATAACACGTTATAGATTTAA